CTGACCACGCCCCAGACCCTCACTGGGAGATTCTAGGCGGGGCTCCACCCCTGACCCCTCCATCACCTAGCACTCACTTCTTGTACTCTTTGCGCACAATGTAGAGGATGTGTATGGCGATGCTGTTGAGGGCATATGCATTGACTGTGGGCTTCACAAACGTCAAGAAGGTGCTGATAATAGTGGTCATAATTACCAGGCAGCTGAAGTAGAACCTGAGGGTGAGACAGGGTGGGAGAGTGTCCCAGAGGTGCTGAAGGACTCAGTGTGGTCACCTCCGGCAGCCAAAATAAATTCGACAAACCAAGAACCCTGGAGAGTACGTCTGGGCTCAGAAGGAGCCTCTGGGTTTCCTCGGGTCTGCTCAGGAAGGACAGGCTTTAAGAGAATCCAGGTGTTCCAGGCCGGGATTAAAGAGCCTGAGGTAGGCTAGGAAGATAGAGGGGTCAGGGGACTCTAGAGGCCTGGTAAGGTCAAACAAGGGATTCAGAGTAGCATGGGGAGGGGGGGGAGCGGTTCAGAAGATGCCCAGGTATCTGGGTAAAAATGATGAGAGTTCTTTGTGTTCGTTTAATTTCCCTCCCCACAGGTGGGCCTGCTCTACCTGCTTCCCTTGACGAACTTGGGGAAGTAACAACGGGGCATCCACAGGCTGTATGCACTAGCCAGCAACCACAGGATGGAGATTTCATCCAGCAGCTGCCCCACAAAGCTGAGAGTCATGTGGAAATACATGGAGAACAGACCTGTAGGAAGGCAGAGACAAGTAAAGGTGGTCAAGAGGAGGGACCATTTCTAGAACACTTCCCCAGCTTCACACACTCGCACGTACCTATGACCATGAAGAGGGCTGACACTCCATAGATACCCCAGGAACGCTTCTGGGCATAAGGATGCATGAGGAACATCATGAGAGGTCCAAAGATGAGGAAGAACACATTGCTGAACTGCAGGAGAAGCAAGAACAGGGCAAGTAAGATCAGAACTGGTGGCTGCTCCGGTCCACCTAGGGCTCACTCCTAGTGCTCCATCACATGGGCTGTCCGGGAATGAACCAAGATTTGTCCATCATTCACCTGTAAGTTCCCAAGCTTATCTTTCCTGATTTTAGTTTTTTGTTTGTTTGTTTTGAGACAAGATCTCACTATAAGAGTCTAGCTGTCTTGGAACTCGATGTGTAGACCTAGCTGGCCTCAAAGTCCCAGAGAAGATCCACCTGCCTCTGCCTCTTAAGTGTTGAAATTAAAGAGCCTTTATTTTTAAAACTGTTATTCATTAGTATTACGGCCTTTATTTAACCCTAGCACTCAGTAAGCAAAAGTAGGTTAATCTCTAGAATTCAACCAGTCCTGCTTGTCTACATTGAAAATCCCAGGCAGCCAGGGCCACACAGTCACACACACACACACACACATACACACACTTGTTATTATTACTAATGGAATCCTGGACCTTGGACAGGCTACTAGGAAAAAGCTCCACCCTTAACCACAACCCCAAACACCCATTTTGGGGAGTCTTGGCAGAAGCTCCATTCCTGACCACACTCCAACCCCTCACTGGGAGATTCTAGGAAGGGGCTGTATCTCCAAGCCTGTCCTTCCTCTCCCCCACTGACCCTGACCATCTACAGGCCATCCCTAAATCCTCAATAGACCCTACATTCTGCCCATTATTCTATTGGTTCTTTCATTTACTCAATGAGGGTAGTATGGATGGCCTACTAAATCTTTTCCACATGCTCTCCCTCATTTTCTTCTTAGAGGAAAATTCTAAATTTGTGGGCTCTGTAATTGTGGACTAAAAATATTCAGGACAGGGCTGAAGAGATGGCTCAGTGGTTAAAGAGCACTGGCTGTTCTTCCAGAGGTCCTGAATTCAATTCTCAGCAACCACATGGTAGCTCACAACTATTTGTAATGAGATCTGATACCTTCTTCTGGTGTGTCTGAAGATATCGGCAGTGTACTCATTTACATAAAACAAATAAATAAATCTTTTAAAACAGTATTCAGGACAGACATAGTGAGGTATACCTTTAATCTCAGCACTCAGGAGGCAGAGACAGTTGACTCTCTGAATTTGAGGCCAGCCTAAACCACAGAGACCCTTTTTCAAAAACCAAAATATGCCGAGTGTAGTGGCGCACACCTTTAACTCCAGCTCTTGGGAGGTAGAAGTGTATCACTGTGAGTTCGAGGCCAGCCTGGTCTACAGAGTGAGTTCCAGGACAGCCAGGGCTACACAGAGAAACCCTGTCTCGAAAAACCAACCAACCAACCAACCAAACAAACAAACAAACAAAAAAGACTATGGGGGAATTCCACCAGTTCTAAACTAAAATTGCACCATTGTATAAAAGGGACCTCCTCAGGGGTCCTGTAAAAGGGGTCAGCAGGTTGAAGATGCTTGCTGCCAAGTCTGATGACCTGGATTAGATCCCCAGAACCTGCATGGTGAAAGGAGAACTGATTCTTCACAGGTCCTCCTCTGACGCTCCTCCCACCATGTGCTCCCACCACAGTGCCTCTGACTGTGAGCC